ATGCTCGACCACAGGCTCTCCTGCCACGTGGGGAGGTTTGTGCCCCCAGCCCAGCCAGGAACCTCCTGCCTGGCACCCTGAAACAAGCAGCCCCAGCAAGCTGAATGCTGAAACAAGGACAGGGTCAAACCATGAGCAACAAAACGATGGAACCCTGCAGGAAAAGAGCTTTCCAGAGTTCCTGCAGCCCAGCAGATCTCCCCCAGTGCTGCTGTCAGCTCCACCAGGGTGGTTTCCATGAGCACTGCAAGGATCAGGCAGGTTCTGAAGCCTGGGATGAAGAGCTGTTGTTCCCAGCCTGCTCCATGACACATTTTGGTTCCTTGACACAAAGTCATCTATTTTTAAACGTCCTCTGAAGTCAGAGCCACAGGAGTTACACACACACACACCCCAAGGAAACCTTTCTGCTCTGTTTTGGTCCAGTGATGCCAGCCCAGCTTGACCACTGCCCTGGAAGAGAAGCCTCAGAGGGGATCTGAGCAGTGCTGAGCAAGAGCTAAAGGGCCCTGGGGGGCAAGAGGCTGGGGCCAGACTCTGCTCAGTGGTGCCAGGGACAGGACAAGGGGCAACGGGCACCAACTGGAACCCAGGAGGTGCCACCTGAGCAGGAGGAGAAACTTCTTTGGGGTGAGGGTGCAGAGCCTGGAGCAGCTGCCCAGAGAGGCTGTGGAGTCTCCTGCTCTGGAGAGATCCCAAACCCGCCTGGCTGTGACCCTGGGCACCCTGCTGGGGGGGAGCTGCTGGAGCAGGGGGTGGGATGAGCTGATCCCCAAAGGTCCCTCCCAACTCCTACCATTCCATGATTCTATGATCCCATTTCTCCCTGTATTTGCAAGGCCCATTCCTCTGGGGCAGAGCTGCAGACTCCTGTAGGACAGAGATGATGCCCAGACCAGGGAGGCTCTGCCACCTCTGGGGCATCAGACAGGACCCCCAGCCCAGCCACCCACAAATGCACAAGGGAAGGGAGATGGCCACACACAGAGGGAGAAACCTCCAGGTCAGGAAGGGAAACAACAAAACCTCCAGACTGCCCAAGATTTGTCTCTCTGCTCCATTGAGGTGGGAGCAAACAGAAGCAGGCAGAGCAGAAGAGAAGGTTTCAGTTCTCCCAAAACTCTGTGGGTGAGGCTGGGGCTTGGGGCTCCTCCTGCCCTTCCTTTTTCACTCCCATTCTCCTGAGAAGGTGGCACTGCTGTGGGGGGCTGTGCTCTGCAGCACCCAACATCCCAGGACCATCCAGCCCTGGAAGGAAGTGTACATACAGAAAATAAAATGGATTATCTACAGAGTGCCCCCAGAGTGGCTCATTCATGGGGTGTGGGTGAGAGGCTAAACATGCTCAAGGAAGAGGTGCCACAGAAAAAGGTGAGGCCATGAAGGAAGCCCAGGAAAAGAAGGGGATTCGTTGCTGAGGTTTGAAGGCCAATGGTCTCCTCAGGAGCATGAAGAGTGTGGCCAGCAGGTTGAAGGACATTCTTCTGCCCCTCTGCTCTGCCCTAGTGAGGCCCTGTGTGGAGTATTTGGTCCAGTTCTGGGCTCCCCAGGTCAAGAGAGACCACAAACCACTGGAGAGTCTCCAGGGGAGGCTACAAAGATGCTGAGGGGCTGGAGCATCTCTGTGCCAGGCCAGGCTGAGAGCCCTGGGGCTG